TGTAAATGCTATCGAAAAATGTCGTATTCCAAGAAGATTGAGTGTATCAAATTTATCTGGTAGCAATAACACCATTCATGTTTTTAGTGATGCAAGCCAATACGCTTATTCTGGATGCGTCTTTCTGCGATCGGAACATGATAATATGGTAACAGTACAACTTGTTCTTGCTAAAAGTAGAGTTACTCCATTGAAACCAGTTACAATGCCGAGACTTGAATTAATTGCAGCTTTGTTAGCCACACGATTGGCTACAGAAGCCAAATTTTCATTGCAGCTGAATTGCAAAGAATACTACTGGACTGATTCTAGCATTGTGTTAGCATGGATAAGACGGCAATCAGGTCTAAATGTTTTTGTTCACAATAGAGTGAAAGAGATTACAGAAAGAAGTAACAGAGATGCTTGGCGTCATGTACCTGGTGAACTTAACCCAGCTGATCTTCCATCAAGAGGATGCAATGCTCAAAATTTATTGAAAAGTCGATGGTGGGAGGGTCCAGCTTGGCTTCATAATTCACAATCAGCGTGGCCCAATTCTGATGTTGCTCCAGATGAAAATGAAGTCAACAAGGAAGTAAAGAAAAGCTGTTTAACTGTGCAAGAAGGTACCAAATTTTCTGACAGACTTCTTCATTTTGGGAAGTATTCAAAAATTGTTAGAACCGTTGCATGGTGCTTGAGATTTTCCAAGTTCTATCGACAGTATAGAAGTTATAAAGATATTACTGCTGAAGAGTATGAAAGAGCAGAAACTCGATTGATGTCAATAATACAAAAGGAGTCTTATGAAAGTTTTGATGAGATAAAATTAAGACTCAAAATGGATATTTTTCAAGATAGTCAAGATGTTATTCGTGTAAAAACTAGATTGACACTAAGTGGTGACACTGAGAGTTTTATAACTCCGATATTACTGCCTAGCACAAATGTAATAGTGAGGCGACTCGTTCGATATAAACATGTTCATAGTCTTCACGCTGGAACACAAACTCTTATAAATAACTTACGAGAAGAGTATTGGATAGTTGGTGTCAGAAGGTTAGCAAAAAATGTTGTACGAGATTGTATTATATGTAAACGATATAATGCTAAGGCTAGTACTGTACCTTTCGCTCCATTACCTGCAGAACGTGTAACTTGTGGAGTACCATTTGAAGTAACGGGTATAGATCTAGCAGGACCAGTATATCTCAAATCTAATCAGAAGTGCTGGATAGTAGTCTTTACTTGTGCTACTTACAGAGCCTTACATCTGGAAATATGCTCTTCACTTAGTACTGAAGAGTTCCTGTTGACGTTAAGACGTTTTATTGCACGAAGAGGTAGGCCTAGGATTATATACAGCGATAACGCTACTAATTTTCGAGGAGCGAATAATGTCTTAAATTCAATTAATTGGGACGACGTTTCTTTCAAAACCTCAGTTCAAAAGATATCATGGCACTTTATTCCACCACAAGCGCCATGGTGGGGTGGATGGTGGGAGCGAATGATTCGTACTATTAAAGAAATTCTGAGAAGAGTTTTAGGTAAAGCTGCTCTATTAGAAAAAGAATTGATGACTGTACTGTGCGAAACAGAAGCACTTATTAATTCACGTCCTTTAACTTACATAGCAGACAGCACTGAAAATTTTACAGCTCTTACTCCTGCAATGTTTCTTAAGGTAGGCAGTACTTATACAAGTGATTTAGACCAAGCTTATTCATCTAATCTTGCTACTCGTTATCGTTATATTGAAAAAATCAATAGGGATTTAAAACAAAGATTTAGATCAGAATATTTATCGTTATTAACGCAAAAGTATGGCAAAAATAAGAACAATCTGAAACCTGGAGATATTGTACTTATTGGTTCAGATGATTTAAAACGCGTAAATTGGCCCTTGGGTCTCATTTTACAGATATGTCCTGGTGTTGATAACATTGGTAGGGTAGCTCGTATTAAAACGGCTAAAGGCGAACGTCTTCGACCTTTGCAACGTTTATACCCTCTAGAGGTGTCACAATTAGAGGATATTCAGTTTCCACGGCCATCGGGATCAAATGATAAAGTTATTGATTCTAAAGTTGAGGTTGAAAATTGTCCAGCCAAGATTACACGTTCTGGTCGTCCTGTGAAACTTCCTCATCGACTTGACATATAATTTTGTTATTGCGCTGTAGTAATGCGTATGCGCAAGGTGGGGTGTATGTTGTGAAACCTCTTTGTATTTTTTATTATTTATTTTTGTCAATGACAATATATATATACGCTATTGTTTTTCTTCGCCTGCTTCCATCGTTATCTAATTTTATTTTATTTTATTTATATATTATTCGGAATACTCACACCTTGCAATAGATTTAAAAAAAAAATGACGATTTAAAAATGCTTGTAAACAAGTCTATTTGGATAAAGCTGATTTGAATTTGGATCTATTTTAAAAATTCTTTCGCTACATTATTATTTATTTATTTATTTATTCATTAGTACAAATATGTGTACATGGCGGACTTAATGCTAAAAGCATTCTCTCCCAGTCAACCATAGGGAAGTGTCAGAATACTCGAATGCGGTACTACTAATTATTGATATACATACATACTAAAATTACATATATAAACGAATAAATATATATGAATAACAAATATACTTACACATAACATATATGATTATTAGCGAGTAAAACAGTTAAAAACAATTTAATTTTGAAAAAAAAAACCGTGCGGAGCTTGTACGAAATACTAGTTATAATTAAACTTGAGTTAAATCTTTTTCACATTTATTTATGATACTTAGAAAAGCAAACAAGCTGACGGCCAACTTTCTGGTGAGTGGTAACTGTCGCCTATGGAATAACATCATGAACGCACCTACTTTTTTTTTTTTTGATAGGTGAAAATGAAATGGTAACCCCGCCTGCGCTAATGGTATACGCTGGCGGGGCACCAGTGAAGGGTGATGGATGAAAATGAAAACAGGCCAGTTAACCCATCATGATGAATTCATCAAGAATTAACCATGATAGTTTCCAGGGAAAACCGCATGGAGGTCGACCTGATTAGGTATATTGCTAGCAATGGGATTCTCAGTCTCCATTACTAACAATTCCTTTCCCCCCGAACGCACCTACTGTGACGCCCACGGTGATCCACATCCGTTGCTATACTAGGTGTATGCCAAATCATGATGATTGAGTAGTTAAAGTGCCAAATATTAAGGGACTAACTTTCATATTTCAACGAGTGACTAATTTTTTATCGTCTGTTTTTTGTGCGTGGATTTCAGGTTTTTTTTATACAACATACAATGGCAAACAAGCTGACGGCCCACCTGATAAAAAGTGGTAACCATCGCCTATAGATATGAGCAGTACCATGGACATAACAGAGTATACTGTTTCGCACATGATACCCCCCATGCGTTGCCATTCCTGAGGACTCAGATGTTATTACCTTTATAAGGAATTAGTGCCTCTAATTCCTGAAATTAGAGGGCACTAATTCCTGAAACACAGAATAAATAAACAATGATCATATATTTTAATTTCTGTTTTTTTTTTAATTGGCTTTGCATTCCTATTTAGCGAATCATCGTGAAAATTCGTGAATATCAATCGACAATTACGATAACCGTCAATGGATATTCATGACTTATTTATTTGTTATTGTTGAAAGTTGGTTCAGTCGAGATTGTTTTTGTATTTGGCAAAAATAGGTCTAAACGATTCCAGATTATGAATCGTGATTTTAAATAAATTTGACTGTTTTCTCACCCATCGATATATGGTATTTATTTATTAATTTCTTTATTGCACCAGATTCAAGACTAAGAAATAAATTATGTATTCGAAAGAATAATCGCCAAAAGATAATAATACCAAGGGATCTGATGCTCTGTACAGCTTTACTTCCATTGAGCTCTAAATTTTTTTTTGCTTTTAAAATACCTACTTCATTAAACTCTTATTGAATACCTATCAGCGTATAATATGTATAACCTGGATGCAACAGGTTTCTTGAGATTTTGCTGTACTAAAGTCTGGCCAGTCAAGACATTTATGTCTTTATTGATTTTATTACTGGTTCTATTATTTTGAGTACTTGTAAAACATTTTTTGGTATTTCATTTTTTGTAACATTTTAATAGGAAAAAATTTATTTCTTAATGTTTCTGGCAATTGTGTTTACATTCTTCTGCTTTGTTATATCTTGATTTAACACTCATACCTACTTGTTTTTATTAAAATATCAATTAAAGTTAATATTGTTTGTTTCTATTTGTCATTATATACTTACACTAAACTACTTGATATGCTATTCTTTTTTCTTAATTCTTCTTCATTGATTATTTAAACTTTCTCAAATTAATTATATTAAAAGGTTATGGGCCCAGCTCTCTTTTTCTGCTACAACCCTTATAGGATCAACAAGTTCACGAGTTTGCATTTGAAAACAAACTCTAGCGTGATAAGGGATCGTCCGCCATAACTAGTTTTTTATTGTAATTTAAAAATTATTTTTTATTAAATTTTCTTTCTTGGCTACGAAATTACCATAAACTGTGTCAAAGACATATTTGGTCCTTTTTTTTTTAATTTGTTTGCATTACAATCTTTGACTTTACATCGGTTTCAACTTTTCACTTCTTTTGATAAAAGTACATGATGCACAGCTACCAGGGCTACGCAAATGAGCATACAGGTTATAAAAACTTCTAGATACTAAAAATAGCATTGTTTCAAAATATCTTCTTATGTAAGTAAATGTGGGCAATGCATCAGTTTGTAAAAGGCTTCTTTCCTTTTGATCAATCCTAAATAATTGAACGTAATTGCTGAAACTCTAAAATGGCTCCAGTATATAGCTCGTCATTATTAATAAATACGCAATATCATAGAAACTATGAAGCACTTATCACTACAAAGCATGCATGCAAAATAGTCAAACTGAAAGGATAATTCACACGCATTGAACTTAAAAAACAAAACAACACCATTCAGCAGGCTACCTCACCTTCGACATTTCCATCCGCGTCGTTCTTAGGCCCGGAAAACTTCAAGCCCCTGGTCGTCTCATTCATGATCCGCACATCATCAGCAGTAACAACTTTGAAACCTAACCCATGACTGGACACCGTGTGGTTCCATTGCCACATACAAATATCTATCAATGACCCATTCGTTCCATTTTCAAAATTACAATAAACCCCTGTAGCCTGCGACACATAATTGTGTTTATTGATGGCCTCATACGTTGGCCCTTCGCTACGCAGCACCTTAATCTTGTCCGCCAATGTGTTCGAGTCGTTGTCCGGAACTGTTTTCTGGTTAATCGCTATTGCGCCTTGATTGTCATTCAACATGTCGTCGTGTTTTCTGTTCATTTGCAATATTTTATTTAAATGTTCGTTCCGCCGAGGTTTCAGTCGTCTGTCCTCGGTCCTGTTCATCAGGGAACTTAACTTTTGGAACGAGCCACGTTCTCCCCTCGGATTGGCCGACCTCGATCTCTGTTCTTTCTCCGCCGCCACGGTTTTCTTCGCTTTACTTTCTGCTTTGACTTCATGATAATCGCTTACAGCGAATGACACGACGGCGAGTATGATAATAATCTTTCCAAGCGCCATTAGTATTCCAATAATGGTATTAGATAGCGAATTTTTGCCCGCTGGAAGCGGTCGATCCTATCAATATAGTGTTCGACATTTTGGGCGTCCGTAACACTGTTATTGTCGAATACGTTCATAACAATAGGTTTTAATATGCGACCCCTGTTTAGCGTCGATCACTGATTACTTTAAGAGCTGTGACGACCTCTCGCGAGCCGGCACGGACATGGATAATCTCCAATAAACGATACTCGAATCGCTCGATACACTAAAGGTGAAGTCCACTGAATACATGTTCTATGCAAAACGTTCATCACAATGTCACTTAAACGTGGGTCTATAGGTTTAGAGACACCCTCGCGCGAGCACTGCGGCCCGCCCGCACAACCCTGGAAAAGCAGGGCACAGAAATGGACGACAGGACACCACCGCACACTACACGAATTGCGCGTTTACCCACACGGGGTCAACTAGCATAGTCTTCGCATAGCGTATCACTATGAGCACAATCCATAAGTTCAATCCGAGATACACATTAGCAATTTTTCAATTTGCACCACTGATAATACGTTTTAACAGTCTATAACAAGGTACATACATCGTCCCACTCCCGTGCGTAGCGCCACGGCGGGAGTATGTGGAACTAACCGCCCGTGGACCGAAATAATCATTACTTTTCGCGAGATGTGATCTTGAAACGGCGCTCGGAGATGCTGCGCAGGTGTCACTCTATCTTCTGCCGTTCCCGGGCTTTTCGCGCAGGATGCTGTCGCATCGGACACCGGATGTAGCATTGGCCCAATTAGGATCACTGCTCACGTCAGCCGCACGCGAGTGGCTGTCGGTAACAGTACAAGCACATGATAGGTCAGATAGGATATTGCCGCGAAAATCAACCAATGAAAATATGAACAGGATATTAGATGAAGAAAATTTCCTCAGAAATTGTTTACGCGAATGGCGGGTGGCCGATTTTTCCGATCCGTCTGCACGGATATTAAATTGAGGGTGTTTTTATCGACTTCATGACTTTTAATTTCCTCAATAAAATGATATTAGCTATGCGAGTGGGAAAGGAAAATCTTTTAGGGAATAATTGCTCCAAACGTCACGAATAATTTTAACACTACGAGTGATCGATAAATGTTTGTATTGTTGTTTGAACAAAAAGTCTGTTTTTATTCTAAAATTATATTATTACATTGGAATATTGACTTATTATAAAATTTATGGCTCGAACTTTTAACAGTGAAAAAACGTGAAATGGATATTTCAAAAACCTAACTTATCCTTAAAGGTAGGTATTTGTAGAATAGAATATATTTTTTTTTAATTAATTATATTACGGCCTTGGATAGAGAGAGACATTCATTAAAAAAAACATTGCAAAAACGAATGACACATGACACTTGACGAGAATTAAAAAAAATTAATAATGTTCGTTCTGAAACAAATTTATTATAACAATTTTCTTTATTATTCCAATATATTTATAGGTATGTTAAATAACATGACAGATTAGTGAATTAATTAATAATTAATTAATTATTTTTTTATGAATTAAATATATGAATAGTTATAAAACTGATTCTTGCAATATTCTTGACAAACTAATTCAATAATTTGACAAAAATGATCATCTGTAGCTTCATTTCAGAACATACTTAGTAATTGTTCGCCACTCCTTTGAACTGATCGAGTTTATTTTGGTCGACTGTCTGATCTGTTTTATATTATAATTGTTTATTTATTTTACAATATTACAGTACATACCTACGCGTAGTTGAATCAGTGATTCCTGTTAATTAATACCTTAATATGTGTCATATATCAATACATGTAGTGTAATTTTTTTTTTGTTTCAACACGTAAGTAACAATCTTAGAATGTTTTTAGGTAGACCTTTTTTATTTTTTAATTGTTAAATCGATTTTTTGATACAATTTTTTTATAATTCACTCATCATCATTTATTTTATTAGTATTTACTTATACCTTTATTTATATGTAGGTATTAAATTACATTTTACTTAGAAATAGAAAAAAAATCACACCTTTTGTAAAGGTGTTTGGTTAGGTTGTTTCAGATATATAAGAAATGAAGTCATAAGTGGATACTATTAATATTAACCCTAGCTATATCCCACAGTTTTGCCTACGTGAATCAGTATATAACATACCCTATGTGTTAAATTAAGATATAGCCTTCCCTTGTACAAAATGTTATTGAAATCTGTTTTTCCATTTGTAAGTATGATTGTATAACAACTACTAAAGCATCTTTACTAATTCCACAGTACATTGGTCTAATTTCTACTTGAATTATAATTTGTTGATTCTGCCATTCAAATGCCTCTATTCATGTATTTTCACTATTACAATTTACATTTATTCATATATATCATCTTTATTACTCAAATATCAAGCTAAAAATATTTTTAAGCTGTGGTACTGGCACAGCATAATTATAAAAAAAAATTCCTTAGTCATTATAATATCCACAATATAAAATATAAGTTCTATTTTTTTTTTTAATGGATGATAATGTAATGGTTACTCCACCTGTACTGTCAGTATATGCTGGCAACGCACCAATTGGAGATGATAAGTGAGAATGAAAGCAGGTCAGTTAGCTCATCCTGAAGAATTTCCGGTGAATTAACCATGTGGGTTACCAGGAGGAATTGCCATTTGTACAAATTTTATTTTGTAATTCTTTATTGCACAATAAAATTTCTACACATAGCAAGGCATAAAATTTAACACTACATGACATTCTCTACCAGTTAACAGTTAAGTAAAAATAGTGTTTAAGTGCAGTAGCATGGGGGGAAAGGGATTGTTAGTAATGGAGACTAAGAATCCCATTGCTAGCAATATACCCAACCAGGTCGACCTCCTCATGGTTCCCCCTGGAAACTATCATGGTTCCTGATGAATTCATCATAACTGGCCTGTTTTCATTCTCATCTATCACCCTTCACTGGTGCCCCGCCAGCGTATCCCGTTAGCGCAGGCGGGGTTACCATACCATACCATCATCCAATAAAAAATAAAAAAAAAGTGCAGTAGCAAACATACACAAAAAAATTATCTATTAATATAAATTAACATAATAATAAATATCATATAAATTTAATACTGCATATAACATACTAATTTGATAACTGGACATACATTTACATATATTTTTTTTATGCATCTTAGAATAGCAAACAGGTTGATGGCCCACCTCATGTAAAGTGGTAACCGTCGCCTATAGATATGAGCAGTACCATGGACATAAAGTATATAGTTTCACCCATGATACCATCCATGCGTTGCAATTCCTGAGGAATAGAAATACAAATGAGACAGAGGCGCCCAAGCAAACAACTTTTGTACAAAGTCTCCCTCTGGTATATTATGAACTTTCAGTACAATTTGTATGAGAGCTTTGAAATTTTTGATTATATTTTGTTTTTGTTCTATACAATATTCAATTCACTGGCAGAGCACACTATAAAGATAATCCTTAGTCCATTACCTTTGAAATAATTTTAAAAAGATTGCTTTCAGCACTAAGATGGCCTTACAATTGTATCATATTTATTAGTTGTGTTACTTCAATTCCATTGTTGTACAATGCAATATACTCAAACATTTATTCATGAAAACAAATGAAAAAACATTGTTATTGAATGTATACAATACAATTTTTTAAGAGCATAGTAGAAGGAAAAATAGAGGGCAAAAGAGGAAGATCAAAGGAATAACTACATGGGACAGATAAAAGAAACACTAGGTGTCATGTCGTATAAGGAGGTCAAGGATATGGCCTGGGAGAGAACTGGCTGGAAGAAGATGCATAAATTAGTTGCACCGACAAGAGGAAAGACTTAAATGAAAAAAGAGAGATGAATGTATATATCATATAACATTCTGTATATGTATTTTATAATAAACTTTCAGATGAAGTTTTGAATTGAAGTGAAAGAAATTTTAAGATGTATATAAAAAGGACTCTCTGTACTAAAGCATATGATAAAATATGTAAAACCATTTAAATGACAAAAATCCATGCACTTGAACATTGTATTAATGTGATGTGTATTTATTGTCAGGCCCATTCACACACTTTAGATATTATTATACTTTTTTATATATATTTTCTTTTCAAATGTTCTTATTTGCATTGTCCATTCCTTGCTTGCTTGGTTGCTGTTGATATATTTTTCTATGCTAAAATCTGTGTCTTCATCATTTTACCATCTCATCACAGTCCACTGCTCCCAGGGGGAAAGGGATTGTTAGTAATGGAGACTGAGAATCCCATTGCTAGCAATACATCCAACCACCGACCTCCTCGTGGTTCTCCCTGGAAACTATCATGGTTAATTCCTGATGAATTCATCATGATGGGCTAACTGGCCTGTTTTCATTCTCATCTATCACTCTTCACTGGTGCTCCGCCAGTGTATTCCGTTAGTGCAGGCGAGGTTACCATACCATTTTCACCCATCAAAAAAAAAAGTCCACTGCTTCCTAATAGTATTGTAATTTTTTTACTTTCTATTCTATTTTTAATTACTGGTTATTAATTTAAATCATTACTATTTTATATAGTAATTATTAGAATTACAAAATGACCTATTATAAGAGTCTGTAACAGATGTATATGAATAAAGATGTTTTGATTGATGATTATAGGCAGTGAATTTACCAGGTTACAGAGGCATAACACCTTAGTCCGGGGGGAAAGGGATTGTTAGTAATGAGGTCTAATAGCCACATTGCTAGCAATATACCCTCTCAAGTCGATCTCCACGCAGTTCCCCCTAGAAACCGTCTTGGTTAATTCTTGTAGAATTTATCACGGTGGGCCAACTGACCTGCATTCATTCTCACCTATCATCTTCTACTGGTGCCTCGTCGGTGTATACCGAAAGTGCGGGCGGGGTTACCATTCCATTTTCATCCATTAAAAAAAAACACCTTAGTCCTCAGGAATGGCAATGCATGGGAGGTATCATGGGCGAAACAGTATACTCTGTTATGTCCATGGTACTGCTCATGTCTATAGGCGACGGTTACCACTTACCATCAGGTGGGCCGTCAGCTTGTTTGCCATTCTAAGTTGTATAAAAAATAATAATAATATACTGTTACACAAACAGTTATTTGAAATAAACAAAAACCTAACAAGTTGGCTTGTTAGTAACGCATTGTGTTAACGTAATTATCATGCCCTTGCCCTTATTTGTGGGCAGCACAGTGTTACAGTTAAGTGGCAATTCATGCAATGTTATTTAAGTTTAAGCAGTTCATTTTCTGACACGAGAGACATAGCACATCAGTCCATGGTAACAACACACGAGGACAGCACAGTAATTATACAAGGTCTCCCTCTGTAATTTTGAAATTACTTCAGTTAGGAGGTACTGGATTTGGCATTTTTGTCTGTATATTATGTCAATTTTGGGCCGATTTTGATTATTCTTTTTTCAATTGTCAATTTACTGCAATAATGATCGAATACTATGTAGGGTTTTGTGTAACAAAATATTAATTTATGTAAATTTATGTTCACAGTTAGAATGCAGTGAACAATGTCGGGTGGGAACTCATCCAAAAACAAGGCGCGCTCCTCCAAACGCCAGGAGGGATGGGAGGAGGCTGGCGGGGAGTTCTACCAGGAGTTATACCCTGGGCAAGAACAGGAACTCTTCGAGAATCTCCAGAGAGCTGATGCTGCCAAGTTGGCTACGCTGCTGCCCTCCAAACAAGCCAGGAATAGTAAGTACACACCATTTGTCCATTGATATACCTACATGAAACATAAGATGCTTAATCAGAGATTAAAAAACAGCACTGAAAGTAAAGTGCATCATTATACACTTATTTCTAAATATCTTATAATATTTATGACCAAACATTTTTTTTATACAACTTAGAATGGCAAACAAGCTGACGGCCCACCTGATGGAAAGTGGTAACCGTCGCCTATAGACATGAGCAGTACCATGGACATAACAGAGCATACTGTTTCGCTCATGATACTCCCCATGCGTTGCCATTCCTGAGGACTCGGTATTTACTAAGAATATTTACTTTATTGGAATGTATTACATCTCTATATGTTTTTTAAAATGACAACATTTTCATCGTGCCTCCGATCAAACTGTTTATAATTACTCCTCTCCATCCAAAGATTGCCTGGAAGAGATCGCTCTTAGCGATCGATAGAGGCCGCCCATTGTTTTCTCACTGTGAACATTTCTTGTAATTGTTTGTATCTATAATGAATGAATGAATGAATAAATGGTTTATTTTCTCTTCACAAAAAGGTGGAATAAAGTAACAACATGAGGTACAATTTGAAATGAAGACCAGTTTTGTGAGAGACTGGTGCTTGCGGTAGGTTTAGAAGAACCTGTGTTACAAGTCACCTATAATAAGTTTACTATTGTAATCTTATGGAGGAAACAATAAAGAGTATATATATATCTATCTATAAATGGCTGAACAGTTGATGATAATATCGTCTATATGTAAACCATAGATAAAACAAATCAATTATAAATTCAGTTTTATAATAAACGTTCTCTAAAATGCTAGCACTAAGAGCAATAAAAAAATTCGAATGCCAATTATTTTGTTAACAATCGCTAATAACTCTTTTAAAAATGGAATAATTGATCGATTATTGTACAATGCTTTTGGCAATAAAAAAAATATATATATATATATATATATATATATATATATATATATATATATATATATATATATAAATAATAATTGCTTTTGATTTATTTATGTATGTTACGTGACGTTACACTAGTGGTTTAAAAATGGTTAAAAGTATTTACGATTTTAAAAAAAAAGTCATTATGGGCGAAAGGACTGTACGCTGGTATGGAAACACGGTGTTTTTAGAAAGATAATATAATTATATAAAAAAATATACAAAGCCAATATACAAAACCAATAAAGCCAATAAAAATACCAAGGGAGCAAAAAAGCGAACGAAAACTAAACTGACACAGACTTCAAATTACAAACAAAACATCTTTTTAATAAAATATAAAAAGGATACAAAAAAGGTGCGTCGTGCACAGTCATCATATTTAGAACATTTTATTTATAAAAATCACAATCGATTGTACGGACAATCGATGAATCATAATCGATGACGCACGCCACATCACTAGCACTGATAAGATAACGTTCACAGCGACGACGGTGAAGCGCGTCCGGTCGCAGAATGAGCGCCGCCAGTCGACATACGCGCGCACGACGCAGAGCCGCGACATACACCTCGCCATGCTGCCAGATCTGTCCGGTAAGCGAATATTTATTTAATATTTAATAACAGGTCTTCACGATAGTACCATCTACCACTCTCATTAATTCCACTGAAAACATGAATGTAGACACACAGCTGAGTTGTGACTATTTTTTTCTTTTTAATTCTCATTGATAGGTTGCTTTATTTTCTTTTTAAGTTTATTAATATTGTATTCAGAGATGTTTTAAACCTATGAGTGAGAGTTATGGAATGAGCTCCCTTTCGAGGTTTTACTAAGAGACCACAGCGTGGGGTTTTTAGAAAAAAGAGTAGGTAAAGAGATTTCATAATATAATGTAAATAAATAATTCTTTAATCTTGTTAATATAGTAGACAAATAAAGGAAAAATAAATAAATAAACAAATATAAATTTTCTGTCAGATAAATCCGACAAGGCAGTTTAAAAAGTTTGTTCAAAATCAGAAGAATAATCAATATATATATTTTTAGAGGAAGTTCCTTTTTTAAATTGGCAGAAAAATTTAAATTTTATACTTTGAAAATAGAACAGGTTGCTATAGCACGTTGTTTGTGTTCCCTAAAGTTTATACATATACAGGTATATACATGTAGATACAGGTATATACATGTATATACAAGTATATACATGTACATACAGGTTAACAAGTAAACAGATTATCACAGACTAATAATAATTATTCAAATACACACATGTACCTATATTTGATAACCCCATCACCCTAGTGATAACGTGTGAAGGGTCGCTGCTCATTCATTTCCGAGGCGTTGTATTGTAAATGTAGTCTCTAGTTTGATTCTCGATTTTGCCAAATTTAAAAAAAAAAGTTTAATTTTTGTTTTATTAAACTTTGAATAGCAATGGATTTTAATGATATTTTGTAAATTGCTTGTTCTAATTTGAGAGAGATTATCGTAGGATATTTTTAATTCAAATATTTGACCCTTAATATATCCGATATATAAATAGTTCCGGTAGGTGGCGGTAGGGAGTAACAGGTTTTTAACCGACTTCGAAAAAGAGGTTGATTTTTTTATGTTTATTACCTCATAACTTCGTCAATTCTAAAATGAATTGGAAAATTCTTTTTTTATCTAAAAGGATATACTTACAGATTGTCCATATAGACGTTTTATCAAAATCGGTTTAATAATTTAATTTTTAGAACAATATAACTAAACTAGTTACAATGAAAAATGAATGTTACAATGAAAGTTGGTCTTATTTTTTGTTATGGGACACATAATATAATCTTTCGTTTAAGCTTATCTGGCTATTATAATAAATTTAAAACTAGACTTTGGACTTGAGAGATTTTTAAGAAAAAATGGTATACGACACACAAGAACAATTGTTTATGCCACAAATGTATTTTTATTTATTTAAAATAAATATATGCATTTCAAAAAAGTAATTCTGCACTTTTTCCATATTAGACAAATTTTTTATTGTTTTAATTTTACATGAACTGTCAAAACAATGACTCATACAAAACTAAGAAAGAGGTCGAATTATTAAAAAGTAATTACTCTTAACAACAATAGTAGCCAAAATAATAATTTATAGAAATTTCGTTTGTCTACCTGGATGTTTGTTTCGACATCACGCAAAAATGTTGCACAAATTTTGATGCGGTTTTCACAGTTGTATGTACCTGAAAGTCTGGCCTATAAATTGTTGTACATATTATCTTAATACGTCAAGTCTATTAATTTTCTTGCTTCGGAAATTTAACGCTTACTATATATATGTTTAGATTTTTTTTATACAACTTAGAATGATAAACAAGCTGACGGCCCACCTGATGGAAAGTGGTAACCGTCGCCTATAGACATGAGCAGTACCATAACATAACAGAGTATACTGTTTCGCCCATGATACCTCCCATGCATTGCCATTCCTGAGGACTTAGGTGTTATTCATCTGTACCCTATAAATTCACGCCATATCCTTTCAAACCGAAACACAGCCATGCAAACACAACTGTTTCACGGTAGAAACACGAATGGGACAGAGGTACCCAAGCAATCGACTTTTGTACAAAGTCTCCCTCTGGTATATATGATTATATAGATAGAGCATCGAGTCTCAAAAACGGGTCAACTTTTGTCAGCTAATTGTCAAATTAACTGACTCGTTTTTTTAATTAACGTTCCGTATACTTACGCACACAATATATCTTGAAATATCTATATTTAATTACTTAATAAATAAAATTAGTTTTTGCGCATTAAAAAGATGCAAAATTTATAAGACGAAATAAATATACAAGTTATAAAGGAATCACTCGTAATTATTTATCATGCAAAATTGTATGAAAAAGTTGAGCCGCCTTTCTCGAAGCATTTGTATGGAGACACTTTGTGGCATACATTTGTCTCTCGTGGTTGTCTAATGCGTTGTCATTTTTAAAAACAATGTTGTCATGGTTGATGATGTAATGGGGAAGCTAGTCCCCCTTACAAACAAACTCCTCCCTCTCGATTCCTTTTCTCTTTTAGAAACAATGAAAAGGCAGGTCAGTTAGCCCATTGTGACAAATTTGACTAGAATTCACCACTGTGATTTCCAGGGGGACCACATGGAGGTCGACCTGATAGGGTGTATTGGTGGCAATGGACTGGTAGACTGCACTACTAACAATCCCTCCCGTCCCCCCTCCTCCCCTTTAGAAACAGTTACCAGTCGATAATAAGGTGCAATGAACTGAGAACTGAGTCGAATCGAAAATATGAATAATTAGTTCGTTAAACTTGGGGATGTTAATTAACCAATAATTGGTCATATGGTTTAGGTGAACTATCTAACGGTTTCATATATTATGATGGTGGTGAGATATACTCACGACTACATTCGCAGATGGGGGTTTTTAAAGGGTGATAATGGAATGGTAACCCCGCCTGTGCTAATGGTATACGCTGGCACAGCACCAGTGAGAGGTGATAGGTGAAAATGAAAAGGCAGGTCAGTTAGCCCATCGTGATGAATACACCTGGGATTCAGCACGATGGTTTCCGGGAAGGACCACGTGGAGGTCAACCTGACAGGGTATTTTGTTAGCAATGGGACTGGTAGCCCGCATTACTAACTACCCCTCCCCCCCATAGGGTATATTGCTAGCAATAAATCTGCTATTTCCTCATTCTTAACAATCCCTCCCCACCCCCCTCTCCCAGACGGGTTAATTAGACGACCTTGGTGGTCTAGCTTAGAGTCTAGGGGTTTAACACGCCGCCTCACATTACAACGGTCGTTTTTTTTTTTCTAGAAAATCTGTCAAACGAAGAACGCACGTGGGAGGAGATTATGCAAATCAAGGCTATGCCAATACCCATGATGCAGAAACGAGATCTGAAAGCGAGACTACAGGTGAGTTTGTTGGGATATTTTTTTCTGTATACTTGGTCGAGAGATGGGCAGCAGAATCTCTCTTAAAATATCTCTAAGCCTAACTGCGGTAGCTAACCCGTTTGCCAAGCGTGGCAACTACTGGCAAAACCTGCCTTTTGGGGGGGAGACGTATGTCCAGCAGTGGGCAGTTAAAGGTTGACGACGATTATTGCATCTAGATTTCGCATACCATAACCACCATATTTGATGGTCATCCACTATCCACCACCTGTGACCGCATTGAATAAATAAACCAATGTATATAAATTATAAATAAATTATATAAATTAAATTACTATTATCAAATTATATTTGAATGAATTTTATATCAGAATTCAAGGATGGAAATATGAAACAATATTGCGCACTGCAGATAGCGTTGTGGTTTCATTTATCGAAACACCTACCGGACGCTAACATAAAATTGAAGTTTTGTTACAAAATAATAAACCTTCTTTGCATGTTTTTTTTTATTGGTGAAATAAATCAAGGTGATATAATTCGTGTTCAAAATTAAAGGGAAAATGGTCAAAGAAATAAATTTGACAGCTAGGTTTTTTTTTGCAATGGACGTTAAAAAGGCATCCAGACACGATCAACTCAAAGTGAACTTGTTCTTTTATATAATTTTTGGGCATTCAATGTTGTGATGGTAATTTCCACCAGTATGCAAAGAAGGGTTAACATCCGGCTTCGCATGATTTTTTTTTAATTCTAAACTAATATAAAGAGGATAAATTTTATTTTTTTGTTTTTTGATGGAAAAATTTAAAAATATATAATCGATTTTTTAAATTTATTCGTCTATAGAAAACTACATTTGTAGAGAATAACACGGGCTGATTTATTTAAAAAAAAAACGTGCTATGCCGGAGCGTGTGGCTAGTTTTAAATAAACAAAACAGCCCACTCGCTGTTAATGTAGCTTTCTGTAAATCCATTGCCATGCCATGACGCGTGGTCTCGGCGTAGAACGGGCCATACTTTCCCGTAGGTGTCGTAAGAGGCGACTAAGGGAACCTAATGGTCGAGGGATGGGCAGCGATGTCTCTCTTAAAACATCAAAGCCTAACTGCGGTTGCCAACTCGCCAGCCAAGCTTGGCAACTACTAGCAAGTGCGCCAGTGTATACCGATAGCGCAGGCGGGGTTACAATTCCCTTGTCATCCATTAAAAAATAACGGTTACACCTCTGACATCATAATAGTTTTACAGTTTTGATTTTGAATTACAGAACGCTACAAAACTCCGCCTGCAAGGTCTGGAGCATCTGCACTGGAAACGGAGGAAAGTGTGGAACCGTCTCCGAATACGGTTCAGCGAGATCGTGGGCAAGCTCGAGCTGTGGCAGTCGGCCATGAGGGAGATCGAGGGCACCTTCGGCACCGGCGTCGTCTCCTACTTCCTCTTCATTAGGTGGCTTCTGTTCCTCACGATCTTCGTGTCAGTAATTGTAGGTTTGTTCATTATTTTACCAAACGAATTGCTAGTCGAGAGACACTTGAATTGTGATGAGTACGAGACAAACTCATCTGTGTGCTGTTCCCAAGCATATTTAGGTAGGAATTCCACTGACTCCAATGTGGTACTCGATGTGATCCAAGGTACAGGGTGGATGGAACGTACCATCCTGTTCTACGGTGTGTACAGCGATCAAATCTATAGATATGAGTTGAGAAGTGTATGGGATGCTGAACTGTACTACGATATGCCATTAGCATATATACTAGTGCCCATAACCACGGCGTTGTTCTGGCTGATAGCCATTGTAAGGTCGGCCGCTAAAGGCTTCAAAGAGAAACTGGTGGAGAGCGAAGGACAGTTCTACATGTACTGTAACTTGGTGTTCGGAGGCTGGGACTTCTGCATTCACAACGAGAAGTCAGCAAAAATAAAGCACAAAGCGCTATTCAACGAAATCAAAGGTTGTTTAGAAGAGCAGAGGTTCAAAGAGGAGAGGCAGCTTCGCACAAGGGAGGGTCAAATCTTGATATATTTCAAACGACTGTTTATAAACGTAATTGTAATTATTATACTAAGCGCATCGGGATATCTTATTTATAAGACATTTAATTATTCACTGGATAGGTTAAACGACATAGCACAAAGTCCGGATTATGCCGAGTCGGGAAATCGTACGGCGCAGAGACTAACTTTCAGCCAGCTGAGTTTGGACAAGAGTGAAAGTATACGTAAATACAGAGAGAGTTTCGTGGGACAATTAGGTGTTACGTTTCTAGAATTCCTGCCGTTCCTCTGCATAGTAGTGCTAAACAAAATCGTTCCGGAAATCTTCGGTTACTTAGTCCAATTCGAAGATTACAATCCGGCAAATATTCTGAACATTACCTTATTGCGAACGGTTCTGTTGAGGTTGTCTTCGCTAGTCGTTCTCTTAAGTCAAATATATATGTACATAAGTCTCAATGGTAGAGTGTGCTCTTATAACGCTGAAGAACAGCTAGGCCTCGAATGCTGGGAAACATACGTGGGCCAGCAACTGTACAAGCTTATTTTGACCGACATAGCTTTCCAGCTTTTCATCACGTTCATCATAAACCTTCCGAGAGCGTGCATTGCTCGCCACACAAGGAATAGGTTCTTGAAACTCATCGGCGAGCAGGACTTCTATTTGCCAAAACACGTGTTAGACATCGTATATATACAAACTATAATATGGATGGGCTCGTTCTTCTGTCCGTTCCTCCCGATTGTGGGCACCATATTCTACTTCCTGATCTTCTATATCAAAATGTTCACGTGCCTGAAGAACTGTATCCCATCCCCAGTAGTATACAGGGCGTCGAAATCTAAATCTCTCTTCATGTACGTTCTTCTATTTGGGTTTGTGATATCCATCGCTCCTGTGGGTTACTCGGTCGCCGAGATCCTCCCATCAATGAATTGTGGTCCCTACAGAGGGTACGACACCGTTTGGGCGTACGTTATACAAACATTCAGTACGTTCCCGTACTTTTTCCGGGAGGTCATATTCCTGTTGGGCACCTCGACATTCGCGGTGCCAGCATTTGCTATTCTGCTGCTATTGTTGTATTATTACTGGGCAGTCGCCACAGCCAACCGGCATATGGTCGACGTACTGAGGAACCAGCTCGTTCTAGAAGGACGCGATAAGCAGTTCCTTCTAAATAGGCTCAGTGCGTTCATACGACAGCACCAGAAACGGTGCGAGAGGCGGAACCGCGCCAGCTTCGCGGACGACGACTCGTCGATTAGGCAAAGTTCTAGATAATCGATTTGAATTCTAGTAAAGATATAAAGTCGAATAGGCTGGGTAGAAGTGGCACTTGTATACTTTGATCTGTGACAATGTCACCAAAATGTACCACTTCCTTCTGATCACGCAAAGTTTAGGAGGATTGTCACAAATTTATTAATAATTTAAGATATGATGTTACTTAAGTGTGAGTAAGCGAGACGCACGTTCTCATTGTGCTGTTGGTCCAATAACAGATATATTAGATATAGATCCAGTACATAATTTCGATTTTAATATAAATATCCGATCGGTATGGGCGATATCGAAATGAGCGACACAGAAACCCAATATATATTTATTAGACATTATTGGTATTGATCCAATATATTGCATTCTTTTCTTTTCTTTTTTTTTTTATACAACTTAAAATGGCAAACAAGCTGACGGCCCACCTGATGGAAAATGGTAACCGTCGCCTATAAACATGAGCAGTACCATGGACATAACAGAGTATACTGTTTCGCCCATGATACCCCCCATGCGTTGCCATTCCTGAGGGCTCAGGTGTTATTCCTCCGTACCCAGTAAATTCACGCCATATCCAACCCTTCAAACCGAAACACAGCCATGCAAACACAACTGCTTCACGGTAGAAACACGAATGAGACAGAGGTGCCCAAGCAAACGACTTTTGTACAAAGTCTCCCTCTGGTAACGTCTTTTGCACATTGATGGCGATCGGATTCTTTATTTCATTAAATGTTGCATAACAAACATTTAACAGATTCATTATTGGGCCAATATATATAGATATTGTAATTGAAATATATAGATATTGCTGTATATTGCCCAGCCCTAATAGATATTGATTACTGTTGCTCGCGAGCTCCGACTGATTTAGCTCTTAATAGGCCGCGGGTCGTAAGCGCATCAACGTAGTTAGTTACTATTATTAAATTCACGGATATGCCCGTTCTACCCACTTATTTATTCTTGTAGTAAAGCTCTATGTATATTAGGATCTTCTGTCCGCGGTAGAAATATCGTTTTGTCTTGCTTATCTAACTTCTCTAAAGAAGTAGCAAACGAATCTACTGATAGAATCGATTCGTTTAGCTCGCTTGAGAAAAAGCAAGACGGCGCCGTCGTATAAGAAGTGGAGGTAGACCGGTAATGTCGAACTAGGAACAAATTACCCGATAAGACATAACTATTGCTATTTTAGTTCCCATTTGACTAACTGGATGTATACAGTTGTAAAATCTTATTAACAATGCTCTCAATAAGCCAGTGCCGGCTTTAGGGGAGGGGCAACGCGTCTTAAACAAATCATGGATGGGGCCATCACTAATTGTTACTATTTATTAAAAAAAAAAAAGTTAAAACAGACGGGGTTTTGTCTTATTTTTACTGTTGATTGGTGTTTTATTTGAGAGTTACTAACCAGGTACCTGAATATTTATTTTTTTAGTTTCCAATTTTAGAGTAATTTGTATACAAATTATCGATCTCCTTTTCGCCATTTTTGGTAAAATAAATTTTCGAATATCTTCTCCTATAGACAAACACTATATATATATATATATATATATATATATATATATATATATATATATATATATATATATATATATATATATACTTATTTAGTTTTTATACAACTTAGAATGCCAAACAAGCTGACGGCCCACCTGATTGATTGGCCCACGGAAAGTTGTAACCGTCGCCTATAGACATGAGCAGTACCATGGACATAACACAGTATACTGTTTCGCCCATGATACCCCCCATGCGTTGCCATTCCTGAGGACTTAGGTGTTATTCCTACAGACCCAGTATTTTATTTATTTTATTATACATATATTATTATTTGAATATATTACTTGAGTAATTAATAGTTTAAAAAATACAACATAGTTTAATCAGTCAAAACACGACTCTCTTTATAACTCTAATATAGTTCAATATGCATTTGTTTCCTCTCCGGAAAGTTTTTTAATATTGTCAATCCAAGTGGATAATTTTGATAACAAATTATTTCAAAATGTTTTTAGTTTTATTTCACGGGTTATTACGAATTCTTACGAATATATTTGAAAGAATAAGATAAACATAGTGCACAGTGATCAGTAATGATGCTTATCTTTACTGATTTCTCTATTTTATATCTTTAGTATAGACTTATTTTATTTATTTATTTTAATACTTTATTGTACACATTAGTTATAAAAATATGACAGAGGTAATCAAAAGTACAAAGGCGAGCTTAACTCTGATAGAGTTCTCTTCCAGCAACACCCAAAGTGGAAAGGAGCATCAATGTCAGCGGATACAGTAGTGTACAATTTTTAAACAACCAAAATTAAATTAATTACATTATATTTTATTAACTTACAACATGTTTTCGTTTTTAAATCATTTAAAATGGTCGCTATTTTAATTAATTTGTAACCAATTACTGCTAATAAAGATCTGAAGAATATTTCACTCGGGGCGCCTCGATACAGAGTCCGGCACTGGTATTCTCCATTTTTTTTATACAACTTCAAGCTGATAAGAAGGGTTGTATATATTGTATATATAGCATTTATTAGCGTGTAACTCTTATAGTGATCTCACTACTTGTAATTTTGACGTTTCTTTTTGTATTTTATATTAAAACATACTATTTGTTAGCTTTTATAAGGACGTATGTAAGTGTAGGAAATTACATAACATGACCTAAGTCGAGAGACAGTTTTGTAATCATAATTTAAACATTACGCTTCACAAATTATGTGTTGCTAGTTCACAAAAAAAAAAGAATTACCAAAAAGCGTAGCTAAACTTTTTGTTTTATAATTTTTAGTTAATTTTGGTTATTTTTTTATAAGATATTATTGAAGTCGTAGTTGGCTGATTGTTAGAAAAATAAATACCTAAGAGTTAATTTATTTAAATTTTATAAAAAAACATTGGTTAAAAATAATTTGAATTAAATATTATCATTGGCTCGTTTTTGAAGGATTTTGTGTCGTTTTCCTTATTCAATTCAATGTCATGCTTACTCAGCATTTATTTATCTTGTTACATTCTTCGTTTACGGGTTAATGTTAAGTACACGTTTAAATAAATAAATGAAATACTGCATTTAATAATATACTCAATGTACACAACAGAAAGGTAGATCTGTGACATAGAAGCGGGCGACATCTGCCGTTTGAAATGTTCCTTTTAGTTTATTATTTGTGTTCCTAATAGCTAGATTTACAGTCAAGGTTAAAAAAACCTCCATTAAATGTTGCAATTTACCAAAATATGATAACATTTTTGGTATTGTCTATCAGTTTTTAAAAATAATTTTCAAATACAATTGACGACCTCCGTAGTGCAATGGGCGGGTCGTTTTTACGTTAATAAGGTTCCTGGTTCGATTCCCGATCAAAGCGATTTGGGAAACGAACCATTCTGAATTAATTCGGATCTGGGGGTCCTAGTTGTGCCCCCATATATTAATTACCTGGTTCCTCATAACATAGGGTATACTAGCTTGAGAACCCAACCATGACTTTATTAACCATGATTATAGGGGCTTTTAAAAAGTAATATATCTGATTATTTGCTTTTAAAAGGGCTGTAAATCTAGTTATTAGTTATCGAGCTTAATTCCACATATTTCCATTTAATAATAAGTTGTGATTATACAAGGCTCTAAACCTCAGTAAATTCTAGATTGAATCACTCAATGCCCCAACGAGATCTGCTGTTTACCTATTCCATTATAAGCACCTTACCACATAAGTTTGTTTGTCCATAACTGTAGAGTAATTTGTGAAAGATGCAAACATAATACGTGCATATGAGTGCATAATAATTATACAGAAGTTAAGTTTTATACATTCAAAGGACAATTTTAAGATATATTACCTATCTCAAGACAGTGTTGCCATATTGTGTATTTTTTCACAAGTAGTAAGTACTTAGAGAATACTGTAATGGGCTTGGAGATATTTGGGTAAATATTTTGGTAGTTTTGTTTCTTGTAACGTACTATGTAACAGCCAAACAGAAAATGAGATAAGACAAGGAAGCAATTTTTTTTCGTTGGTTTTATCATAATATGGCAAAATGTAAAAATATAAAATTGACATTGGATTAAAATAAGGAGAATCGTATCGATTCTGAGACAATTGACATATGGCTAAAAATAAAATATTGCAACTGGCAGCTCTGTAGATCACTCAGATGTCATTGACCTGTGAACGCCTAATATTTTATTATTTAACGCTGTATAAATAGGCATAACCTTTAAATGTAATTACAAAGTTATATAATTTGTAATAACCGCAGAATATTCTGCGGTTAATTTATAACAAAAAAATGCCAGATCAAACATAGGGTCCTAAAAACCAATTCATATCTTGCAGCACTGTGTCTACTGATTGAATGAATCTTGCATTCTGTACATCTGTATGTAACTACTCTTATGGTATGGTTTATATATGAAAATCCTAATTTTGTTTTTTAATTAAGTGTAACGATAATGCTCGACTTGCCAAATGGTATCCTGTTAGTCATCTAGCCTGTATTATGTACAATTTTTTCTTATTAAAAATGCTCAAATGTATAAAATTAATTTGTTAACTTCTAGCTCAATGACGTACTTCAGCTAATATAAACCCATTGGAGAAGCTAGCTCACAGATAAAGGTATTCTCAACTAGTACCGCTTAATATATACTATAAATAATAGATTAAAAATAAGAATAATGTAGGAATTTTGACGTAATGAATGTGAAGCGAATCTTTGACGAAATGAAAATATTGCAGAGCATTTATTTTCGAAACTCTCGCTCTCTGAAATCCAATATCTGTAGCCAGCTTCTCCATTTAAATAAAAATACAATGATTTTATCATGATTTGATATTAACTTCTTCCTAACTGAGAGTAGTAACTGGGGTTATTCTTGTATTGTATGAGGTCCTGGTCCTCCTATTGTGATTATATAGCAAGCAAGAATATTCTCTCGAGATAATATTACAGTTTTAAACTATACAGTAGTTTCACAGACAGTCACATGTACACAACATGTGACTGTCTGTGAAACTACTGTTTAAATAGTCAATCTTATTCACATTCTTCACAATGGCGTGAAGAATATAGATAAAAATAAAAGTTGGATAAGATCCTCGGCAAACAGAATGTCTTGCCATTTTAAGTAATGATATAGCCGTATTTAAAATGTAACAAAAGTAATGGTGAATTAATTGAAGAAATAGATGATGTCTAAAAACAATGTCCAGCACGAAAAGCAGAAAAAAGATCTGTACTAAGTATACATGATTATTGTATACAATATCTGATTATAATGTCCAAAATAAATTCAAAGCCAAATATTAAATGTAATATTGTTTTTATATCATTTTATACGATATAATAAGGCAAATTTTTTATAATTCGATTTTCAACGATTGGACAATAAAGAAAAACCGAATTGCTACGAAATAGTCGAAGTTCTCATTAGCTAATTTATATTTTTTAATTTATAATTAGTCCAAATGAGGCAACAACACAAGCTGTTAGGTTTATATTTCTTTTTTAATTTATAAGATTTATTACTACACTGCCATATATAACTGTGTAAATTAAAACAAATATTGTAATAAATTATTGTACTGTCATGTCATGTTTTATTTTATTACGATTCTTGCTTCCTTCCCCAAACAATAGAGACTGCATGCCGAGAACCAAAATTTTTAAAGCCTGTTATTTTGTCTTTATTTTTTTTTTTAATGCTGCCTTGACAGATGAAGTTTAAAAGGATCTATGACAAATTAAATGAGTTCATGAAAAGGAATATAATAAGGTTTCTTATCAGTCAGTAACGTGTTCCTGACATCTCTGGCGTCAGAAGCGTCCACAGACTATAGCATAGATAACGCTATACAAGTAGCTACGGTACTCGTTTACCATTAGACGAGCCGTATGCTTGTTTGCCACCATGAATTTTAATTGCATCAAACAGACCTAAAATTATTAAGTTTAACCACGTAAATCTAAATTTAGCACCTATTTAATTACCACATACAAATGTAGGCATGCGAATATTTATATTTAAACAAAAAAAAAAAAACGAATACATTATGAGGTTAACCATTAACCACAAATAATATACTATACTAGTGTATTAATGGCTGAAATGATAATGATGCTGTTTAACACAAATTTATAGTGCGGGTCATCTTACAACTACGTTCGTCTCCCACTAGATGGAGTGATCTCAAATGCATTGCAAAAAGTCAGTGGATGCAGGTGGTTAAGGACCATTCTTTGTAGCTGTTTATGAGGGAGGCCTGTGTCCAGCAGTGGACGGATAATGACTGAGATGATGATGATAAACTTACAGATGCGTGATTACCATTCAATTTTCATCCATAAACATATGTAGGTAAAAATAAAAATACAATTTTCACTTATAATGTTTTATTACGAATCATGTTTGCGTAGGTACACAAAATACAAAACTAAATTAGTTATTCAATTTATATAAATTCTTTAACGTTGACAACGTTAATTTTTTTTTTGGGAACATTAAAATGTTCGGTT